CGAATTTATAGCGATCGCGGTAAGAGCGTCACATTTAGCGACTAGACTGCTATTCGCGTGACGCGTTCACGCCGTGACTTTTCATCGCGAGTCACGTCGCGATTTTTGCAAGATAGTTGACCTGGGGCAGTTTTATTGACGGAAACCGCGGTCTCGAAATCAATAAGAAGCGTGGTGAAGATAAACCGAAGTTTAAATTGTAAACGTCGTGGTTTAAGAAACCGCCACGCTGAGCGGTATTCACCGACCGCCGTTTTGATCGAGTTTACCAAGGTATATAAAATCGTAAAAAAGCGCCGTTTCATATACCGCGGTTCATTCTCACTAAACTGCATCCCTTTGAAACCGCGGTTTTTGCCGGTGGCACCACCGCAACTTGATTCGATCAAAACACGGCTTCTTAAAACCGTGGTTTTCATCGATTTTCCAAACTACAGTTTGGATCAGAGAAATCGCGGTTTGTCCTTACCGCGGTGAGTCAAACCGTGGTTAACCGCGTTTTTCGGAATGACATCGCGGTTTGCTACAGAGAAACCGCGGTGAGACAAAAAAACCCGGGGTTAACTGTGGTTTTATTCGAAAAATTTCTCCGTGGGTAGACCTGTGGGAAACAGGTAGAAAACAGATTTCTCTAATAGTCCACGTCGGGTATCTGTGAAATATATGCTATGCCACGTTCTGCAATCCCGTGAAATAGTGCAGCACATACTCAAACTTTGAAAAACGAGGAAAATCGTCTTTAAAAGTTGTTGTTTTCTATCATTAGATGGTTTTTAAACTTGAACTTGATTCTATTTTACAAACAAAGCTGACTTTACAAAGAAAGCTGCTGTAGAAAAGCAGAAAAATTAAAACATATTTATGCACACTGCCAGTTGGAGTAACAACACCACGAGAGAGAGAGAATACACGCTTATATCTATAGATTCACTCTTACAGAATAGAGTACAGAAATAAATAGAAACAAAAACAAAAAACAAACCCCAGAAAATGCCTCAAATTTGCAAATGATATTTTAGCGTCGCTTTGAACTGACCTAGAGTATGTACTGCAACAACCGTTTCTGGTAAAGCGTTCCGATCTTCGGCAGTCTGATAGAAAGAAGCTGACGCTACCCGTTTTTTTGTAAGACTCGGTGTCGCGACTGGCTTCGTGTTTGCCCTTATGTGTTTTAAAACCGTACTTGTATTCAGACGCTCTGTTCTACGATCCTTCAGTGGCGTTATAAAGGGCGGATCAACAACTGAACGCGGAAATAACTTGTTCATTACTTTATAGAATGAATCAAACAAAAATATTTTCTTCTCAACAATAAATCGGGGAGCCTTAGTTTTCGAATTAACTCTCACACCGATTCGTCGAATTTTTTCAAAAACATTCTTGCGGCTAATTTCAAAATTTTGTCAAGAGTTTTGGCATAACAATCGCTATCGTAGACGAGGCAACAGTAATCGAGTTTACTTAGAATACAAGCTCGAAAAATAGATAAGCGGGTGTTAACTGGAGCTTCTTTGAAACTACGAAACATTGCTACAGGCCGCTACGAAACATTGCTACAGCCATCCGAGAACTAACTCGTCAACATGCTCTCTCCACGTGAGATCGTCACTTAATCGTACGCCAAGTAAAACCACTGATTTTTCTCGCCTCATAACTCGCCTCATTTACCTTCAAAGAAATGTTATTAGCAACAGATGCTCTGCGATTTGTGGTTTTTAATCTCAGTGAGAACCACTTCATCAAATAGAGCTTGAAAAGTTGCGTCGACTGCGTATCTTGTTGTCATTATTTTATGGGGGAAATAATATGCTTTACAAAAAAGATCCACTTTTCGGAAAAAAACGATTTTTTTTAAAACTCTCCTGAGAACGCGCTTAACATTTGCAGTTAACAGCCTGTTAGGGATTTTACTTTCACTATTAGCTTGACACTTTCCATTTTTCTGAGGCTTCTTTGTGTTTCCATACCACAGTTTTCTAAGGGGATTTCTGGAAAACTGAGGGTGAAAAATGGAAAGTGTCGAGGATAGTTGTATGGGCAAAGTTATAGATCTTACTAAGTAGTTTCTATCCTGAAAAAATCTCAAAACATTTTCGGAGTTTTTAGGAGAAAATGGAGGTCAAAACTCAGGAACTTTTCAAGTAAATTGAGTACCATTCGAATGTAAAGTTAGATCGAGACCGAATTCCTTCAGCATTAGAAGCAACTCGTCAAGAGCTAAAATTTGATGTGTACTTATGCAATGTTTCGTTCATTTTCACCGACTTCGGTTTCGGGTACTTCCGCACAGATCTGCCCAGTATTACATGAGCTGAGAGCCGGTAAGGTTTGACTATATGCAATGGACAGTCCTACTAAAGGTATATAAAAGCCCCCTGTCACCCTAGGGAAAAATTATTTCGAACATGGTTTTTCCTCGGCCATAAGTTCTGAATTGAAGCGCTTTTAGGGGTGTCAGAATAGTGAAATCTGACCTTATCTTATACTATCAAGCGTTCTCATACTGCAAGCTAGAAAGAGCATACAAAGTTGCATATTTCTATCCGCAAATGAGATTTTCTCTTCTGACATTCGGAAAGAATTTTTGACTGGAGGACCTTATCTGCATTAGCAGATATCACTCGTTTTGTAGCATGTTGGACGAGCTCAAAATCTAGTGCTACACCTAGTGCTACAAAAGGTGCAAAGTATTGACTTTGGCCAGGTGGTTTTTCTTGTGGCGGTTTTCTAGAAATTCGGTCAAAATTCTCAGTTGCTCATAAATATTGAATCCAAACTAATCTGAAAGTCGGATTCAGCATTTTATGGGTAATTCAGTATTTATTCTCGTTCCTAACCCTTCCCAGACGATAGGATTTTTACGGGATTTCTAGAAAACCGTCACAAGAAAAACCACCTGGCCAAAGTCAATACCTTGCGTCTTTTGTAGCACTAGTCGGGTAGTATGTGGGCTAACAAGATCTCGAAGAAGTGATGTATAGTTTTCGAGGGAGGAGACCAAGAATGGCCAAAGTAGGTCTCACGACTATGCTTACCGTGAAGATGTAAAAAGTGCTAGAGACTTTGTTGCTGCATCATACGAACAAACTTTTTAGCCGCTTTCATTTGAATATAAATAAAGTTATGTTTTTGTTAGATTTTGAGCTCGTCCAACATGCTACAAAACGAGTGATATCTGCTAATGCAGATAAGGTCCTCCAGTCAAAAATTCTTTCCGAATGTCAGAAGAGAAAATCTCATTTGCGGATAGAAATATGCAACTTTGTATGCTCTTTCTAGCTTGCAGTATGAGAACGCTTGATAGTATAAGATAAGGTCAGATTTCACTATTCTGACACCCCTAAAAGCGCTTCAATTCAGAACTTATGGCCGAGGAAAAACCATGTTCGAAATAATTTTTCCCTAGGGTGACAGGGGGCTTTTATATACCTTTAGTAGGACTGTCCATTGCATATAGTCAAACCTTACCGGCTCTCAGCTCATGTAATACTGGGCAGATCTGTGCGGAAGTACCCCTCACCAAAAACTTGAGGTGTCTAGAAAACCACTTTCCACACGTTTTTTTAAAAAGAGTAAGCGAGATTTTTAGGTTATTTTTTGATGCTCTACACGAACACGATGCGCAAAGTGAAATTCTCGCGGCAAGATGCTCTGTATAAAGTGGGCGGACCTGTGTGGAAACACCCTAAAGTCGATGTAAATGTGGTACGTTTTCGAAAGAACAACCCCCTGCTATCAACTATTTTTCTTTTCAGATAGATTTCAAAGATGATGAAAGAAAGTAAAGTACAGCGAGAAAAGTACGATAAATATGATGCTATACTCATATGTGACGACTTATATTATCATATACATCCATTACATATTATACGCAACGTAACTGCTAGCACCTAGCATCTTTCCTTCTCTCTTTTGATTGGCTGTCCAGCGAATAACTGACGGCCATTTTTCCATGTTTTGCGGAAAAACAATTTTAGTTTTCTAGACGCTTACAGTAAAGGAAGTATTCAGAAGGGTATCTGTTATACGAGCAAATCTCTACAATGCAACGAATCTTTCGTAGTCAAGGTAATACCGTCTATATTAGTTACATATACGCATTTTCCAGAGTTAAACATACATCACAGTTTCGACCAGGGTACCCAAATCCGGTTTTTTGAAATCAGGAGCAAAACAGAAGAGTATCAGGCAGTTTTTTCTTGGACGAGGAAAACTTTCATTTCTACAAACGCATGTGACTTTTTTCTACCAAGCAAGGTCTGTCTTATAAGCGAAACTTAGAAAAAGAGAGAAAGATAACTACATATAGTTTATTCTACTGATATTTTCCCAGCTCTTCATTTAACAGTATAAACAAAACAGAGAACTATTTCTTAGAACCGACAAGAATCATAAAAAACTACGTGAATATGGAGGATAAACTGTTTGCTACACCATCCGTGGTTTTTTGTGCAATATGATTGTATTGTATGACAGTTCTCTTTTCTTCTCCGCTTTTTTATTAGTCCAAAATGTCGCTAAAATCGATGCAGGAAAACAATTGAAAATCAGGAGATTTGGGCACTCTGGTTTCGACTTTTATTTGGACAAGTAAAAACGCATAGCGATTAGTTTCACAATACTTATATGATTATAGCAGGCACTATCAGCTTGCGTGCTGCGAATCGAACGCAACACGTCTCGTCTAGAGATAAGCGTGGAATTTTGAGTGAGAGAAAGTTCTGTATTCAAGTGTTTCTACTTTTTTTAAATAGCATTTGTAGGTTAAAAAGCAATCTATACTAATATAAAAATCTTTTTAAAATTAAACATTAGGGCTTTTCATGCTTTATTCAATTGCACTAGGTGTTTCCCGTTTATTATGTGAACGTGGACCTTTACTACTACGCCAGAAATTAGTTAATGAACGTTCATGTTCAAATACAAGTACAAGTAAAACGAATGATGTGAGAGACCAGCAATTACCAGAAACGGTTTCATTCGAAACAGGTAGACGTACATCTGAAAATCCTGTATGGTCTATAAAAGATCAAGCTAGTCATAAAACAAAATTATCCGGTAGTTATGAGCATAGTACAACAATCGCAAGTGATCAAGATCAAACCACAACTAATGCTCCACCAACCCCCGCAACTCTCACGCCACCTCCTCCTCCTCCTCCTTCATTCGGATCAATAGCTGGTCAAGTCCATGTAGCTGAAGGACGATTGAAATCAAACAGCCCAGTTTGGTCAACAACAACAGATGACTATTCGGGTAGTGTCCGTTCAAAAGAAGGTGACAATATCAGTCCATCAGCGAATTATGTTCCAAAACGAAATTATTCGACATCATCTTCTGGCAGCACCAATACTGACAAGAGCAAAAAGAAAGTTGATGTTCATTCGGATATGTACCCGCCATCCACAGTAGAAAAACAAGAATCTGTACCGTTCAAAACAGATCCTACATTATCGACAACATCAACACAAGATCAGTCACCTTTATCAGAAACGACCGCGCGCGCAGTCTGGTCAGTACAACGATCGGACACAGTTCACACACCAGGAGCGAGTTCTCCTACAACAACGTTTGTTCCGTCGTCCACGGATACGTCGTCACATAGATCAACGGTTTACAGTGCAGTCGGAGATGTTAATATCGCGGATCCGTAAGTTAAAAGAGAAATATTATTTGTATTTTTAACAGACTGAACGCTTTTGAACATTTTGGCAGCAGTTATAAGTAAACAATTTTTTTAGTTATAGGATATTTTCTAGGTTTTTGGACGTGTATCCGACGAAACTGTTTATTCTTCTACAAACCTTAATATACCGTGTATGAGTTGTATTAGTTGCGTCTTTTCTACAAAACTTGTGATGAGCGTAGCGTGATGACTTTTAGGTATATACTTATCGAATATATCATCGAAAAAATCAGTTATGACATTAACCAATTCAAAAAGACGTCGATAATAACTACAGAGAGCCCAATACATCGACTAATATCTTCGGTTTTAACTGAAATCAAGTTTCTTCGAAACCAGTATATATGACTGAATGCGTTGAACATTTTAATGGCCTAAAGATTTTTTCTCTATTATATCTTTAAGCAAAGAGCTTAATATCGAATTTCAACGGTAGCTCGACATCAGATGGATTGAAAATTCAGTTAACATAATTAATTCATTAAAAAAAATCGATTCGCTCTCATTTATTTCTGTTAACCACGGTTTAAAACTTTAAGTTGAATATTGATAATATACCTTTTTAAATCTACCTTTGATTATTTTCGATGTTTATGTTTTATTTTGATTTAGATTTAAAACCAAAAATGTCCTGCCTAATATATCATCGACACTTTCGTCAACCTCTTCTAACACGGCTACTCAACCAGTTTCAACTCCGACAACACCACTCTCGGTACCGTCAACACCACCCTCGGTACCGTCAACACCAGCACAAGATCAGTCGCCGGTAGAAGGAACAACCGAGCGTACAATCTGGTCTATGCAAGTAAATTGTCTTTTGTCTTGTTTTAATAAAAACTAAAACATTTCTAACTTGTCTTTTAATTTCAGACACCAGACGCAGTTCACATACCAGGAGCGAGTATTCCAACATCAACATTCGTTCCATCATCTTCGGACACATCATCGCATCGATCGACAGTCTATAGTCCAGCTGGAGACATTAGCGTTTCTAATCCGTAAGTAGGCTGCAGTCTGTCTCGTAACAGAGCATTCTCTAATTCTCATATTATCATTAGCGTGTTGTGTAAGACATAATCGGCTAGGATCTTTCATGTTCTGTTTTTAATTATGTGATTGTTTTAGATTTAAGACTAAAAATGTCTCTCCCACAGCTCCGTCTACATCATCTACACTTTCCGCGTCATCAGCAGATCCGTCTACTCAATCAACAACTTCATTTTCTCCAAAAATAAGTTCCACCGATGTTTACTCTTCTCCATCTTCGCCGACTTCACGATTTGATACATCCCAGCCCATCGATATTCATCAAGTTGAACAGTCAACTCATATTCCTTCATCAATGTCGAAAACATTCGGAGGTCATGACACGTCGATACCGTCTTATCGTTCAACACCAACAGCAGACAGTACTCAATCAACAGATAGTACTCAGTCACGGTACGATTAAAAAAAATAGTTATCATTTTCAAAAACAAATTTGATCTATTTTTCATTTAATTTCAGCGAAATACCCATTCAACGTGAAGATGAAATTCGAAATGAAATTTTGCGTGAAGCTCTAAAATTTGTTGATGAGAAAGGATGGTCAGTAGATGCAATAAGAGAAGGTATATCATATGTCGAGGGTAGTACAGTGAACATTCAATTAGCCAATCTTTAGTGATAAACTACGGGAGAATCCCAACAAGTTATAGAGATACAAGTCACATAACTTAAGTTGCGAGAAGAGTGGATACTCAAATGTTTTTACTTTTCGTATAATTGTAGATTATGTCTCTTTTTTGTTTACTTCTTCAGTTCTTTTTTTCTTGAGGTATTCGTTCTCGTGGTCATCCATCTACAGTCGAAGGTTTATTTTCAAATGGTTATGATCTTGTTGATTATGTTGTTCACGATGCAAACAAAAAAATGGCAAAATATATGAAAGAGAAAAAAGAGAAGTAAGATAAATTTGTCTACGAGCTGTTGATGATTTGTATGTTTGTTTTAGAGGAGATACAAACACTGGACGGTTATTAGTCGACGGTTTAAAATATCGTTTGAGTTTAATAATTCCCTATGCACGAACATGGGATCAAGTATGAATTAAGATAAAGTTACAAGACCCTTTCTAATACAACTACCAAATCTCACTTTAAAAGCTAAAAAAGTTTAAGTGTCTTTCTTTTATTTTCTTCATGATGGAAAATACATCATTGCGATGAAACATCATAAGTAATTGTTTATGGTTTTTCTTTTAGGCTCTTGCTCTTGGTGCAATACCTCAAAATGCAGTTCGTGGATGGAAAAATATCTTAGATTTGTCAAGTGAGGCATGGCATGGTGTTGGAGATACGTCAACAGATGTAAGTTTTTTCTAACTTATTATCGATATGAACAATAGATTTATCTTTTTTATTTTAGGCGAACTGGTATACAAAACGTTTGTTATTAGCAGCTGTATATAAAAGTGCCGAAATATATATGCTTCAAGATTCATCACCAGATAAAATTGATACAACGAAATATTTAGAAAGACGATTAAATGATTTTTCTTCACTGGCTAATGCGAAACACTCGGTACGACTGTTAGAAAAACTATTGTATAAAAAAGCAAGCTCAGAGTATGATGCTATTTTGAAAGATTGTACATGATGCGAGGAAGTCAACCCAAAAGAAAGAAGACATGTTAACGAATGGAGCCCAAAATTTTTAATAATCATGGTACTCGAGCATGCCAAAGTTTCCTTTTGTGTGAGAGATCTGGTATAAACGTTCGATTCTGAACTCACATGGATAGATTGCCGTTCTAACGTTCTCATATGAGAAATTTGATCATTTTGACTTCGTCCTTTTTTTCAGAACATCTGCTCTAGTCTGTTTTTCGTTCTCTCAGAGTGGTCCCACACATACGATAGCGACATAGTATCTGTCATATGGTGATATAATAATAATTTTCATCGCGTTAATTGTTCCATACCTCTGTTGTTGTTAAATTGTTCTCCTCTTGGACATGAAGGATGTTTTGGATGTTTAATCCAAAAGTAACATAAGTTTTTCTTTTATGTTTGAAGGCTTCAAAAGGTGTTTCTGATGCGTCTCAGTTATTTTCTGGCTTATTTTCAGTTGTAAGTGTATATTCATTTTATTTTAATTATCTACAGCTGACTAAATAATTGTTTTCTAAATTTTAGATACGTAATCTTACATTTCGAAGATGAGGAACTGTGGTGACAAGAATTAAATGAAACACTTTTTTAATAATACATACTTTATTCTGGCATAGTCAAACTTGAACGATATTAATATTTTTAATCTGACAATATTTTAGAGTAAAACACACTAAGTTTATTTTCCACTTCCAGTTAGTTTATGCTTTTGAAGCGTTTGTATAAAAAGAAATACCATCTACATGCACTTACATTTCTTTTTTGTTCTTCATTCGTCTCGTACAGTAAAAAAAATAAACAATTTTCGTTTTACCTCTGCCTATAACTTGTTTTGAAAACAGGTCAGTGGTGGTAATTCAAATAGAGTAATTAGAGGTACACAGTCAAACATGGTTGTAGTGAAACTGAAAAAGAGAACGAGGTGAATCAATTTTACACGAAAAACTGTCGCGTTAATTACTATCAACGCTTGAAAATCGAGTTTTGTAGTTTCAAATTAATCGAAACTAACATCTGTATTCCTCAGACAAGAAAACTTGCTTTCTATATATGTATCAACGAATGTGAATACGGTTCTTGGTTGGGATAGCCAGTGGTTAAAAGCTTCAAGCAATCCTAACGTCTCACTCTCACACTTGCACACAGACAATTCACAATTTTTGACGAAAACGTTGCTAACCCTTCTGTCGAGAAGACCGGCTACACCTGTGAATCGTCTCTATCTACCAAAACCCAATAGCTTTTACGTTACAAAGTTTTCCAGTATTTTTGCATCGAGCGGTTTTTTATCCTCCATGAATTTTTTTAAAAGGAAAAATGGACGATCTAGAAACCGACGTGATGTAGTGAGTGTACCAAGAACGGAAAATTACAACAGTCTAGAACGTTTCTATATTTCTCCAACGGTGAAAGCCAACAGGATGGCTTTTCATGTGTGTGATAATTGTTAAAATAACTAATATGTTTGCAAATCCTCAGCATCCGAAATTTATAATAATTAAGAATTCAATTATTTGTATTTAGAAGAAGTTCGAACGTTTTCTATCCAACATCAAGAGGCATTATTCGGTAGATTCAGACAGATAGCGATTGTTGATGTCACAAATTTAAGTGACATTCATAACAGTTGTAGGTCTATACGTAACTAGATAATGGTATAAATAGCGTCACTGGAAACAGCTTCGTTCTCAAGATATAGAGGCACCACAAATCGATCATTCTCATCACAATTAGAATTAAGCTTTTTCCACTTATAGAAACCAACTTTAAAAACTATCTTTTAATATGAATTCATACGTCAGAACACGGGCTATCGTTTCCGTCCCTTCACAGATTTTAAAACCATTCCGCCAAAATACGACTCTGGGTTTACACGTGAGCCCCAATAACTCGATTTTCTTTCTGTGCCAAAATGTTTATGGCTCAAGCTTTATATCAAAATATAGGCCACATTCAGATGTATTTAGACAGCAGACTTTGGATTTCTGCACGATTCTTTTTCCTAAGATAGTTCGAAAAAACCGACTTTCCTGAAAACCTAAAACCGTAAAGATCACATTGGAACATGTTTTCGTTCTCTACAGGTAGTAGCTCGTAAAATTCTGATCAAAATCAGACGCCTTTCAGCTTTATACGTTGGTTTTCAACGAGATACGAGTTTGACAAAATTCTCATAGAAACCTATATTCCGTGGATATTCAACAAATTGTCTCTTCTTATGAAAATAAATCTTATTCTGAACTTCTTGACGAAGTACAGACAGATTTTAACATAGCCTGTCTTCTAGACCGTCAAATTCTTTACCAAATGAGGTTTTACTTGAACTTATTCGTTGGGTCGTTATTTTACAAATAGAACTTTAAGAGCGTAAAATAGCATAAATTAACGCTAATTAGTCAATAACAGGAAGGAAACAATAAAAGCTTTTTCTTTTTCCTCTCAATAGACTAATTCTGCTGAATTCTAGAATTTCTACGGAAATTGTGGAAGTTCACACCACTCGAAACAAAAAATAAGTTGACCCATATTACTAGGACAAATCGACCCAGACTTAATCTAGGGAAAAAAACTTTATATGCTTTTCATATCTTGTTTCTTTTTACTTATTGTTCTCTTTCTATGTTTTGAACAAAATAAAATATATTCCATTTAATATTAATAGTATTTAACAGCAAACATTTTTGAATCAATATAATAATTGATGCAGCTATATCTGATTTCATTGTTTACTTAAATAAGCAATGAACAACTTCTTTATTTGTTTTTGTGATGTTTCGCTCTATTTATACGAGCATTGTCAAACAATAACAAGAGACAAACTGTACAGTTGTTCCAAATATAGTAAAAATCGCATAGAGTAGAAAAAGCGAGAAGAAAAGAAAAGACATCCCTTTGAATCGATGACATCATTTTAAATGTACTATATAGACTTTAAGGTCACGAAAGAATGCGAGAGTGCAAACACACAAATTAGACGAAAGTGAGTGTAGTTCTAATTCAATCTTTGGGTGGTAGCTATCTCTTGTCTCCACTGAGTCGCTCAATATTTCGACTTTGCAAGCCGTGCGAGGGACACAGAGTGGTACTGACCTATCTGTACCATTTGAGATGGGATTAGTGGCACGAATAAATAACGATTCTTTAACGAGTAAACGATATTTCTGTTGTCCATTTAAGACAATTCTGAAATCGTCGCTTGACAGCATGTGTCCGGTTGCTTCAGT